ATTCAGTCCTAAACCTTTTAATTTTGCCAATTCAGTCCTAAACCTTTTAAATTCTTGCCAATTGAGTCCTTCCGGCCAATTTTGGCCGGCCGGCGCTGACGTGGCCGCCGGCCGTCCGGTCAATGCTGACGTGGCAATTTTTAATTATTATTATTTTTCAATTTTTTAATCTTTTTTTTTTTTTCTAGTTTCTCCCCTTTGGCCGACGAGGCCTCTGGCGAAGCTCGCCCCGCCGGCCACCGGCGAGGGTGAGCCTCGCCGGCCCCTGGTTGGGCGAGGCGAGGTCGGCCTCGCCTAGCCGTTGCGACCCAGGCGACGGCGAGGCTCGACCCCGCCTCACCTCGCCTCGCCTCGCTGTCGCCGGGGACGCGACGGCGAGGTCGAGCCTAGCCAGATCTAGGCGAGGCTCAACCTCGCCGTCGCGACCCAGGCGACGAGGCGAGGCGAGGTCGAGCCTCGCCGTCGCCTGGGTCGCGACGGCGAGATTGAGCCTCGCCAGATCTGGGCGAGGCTTGACCTCGCCTCGCCCAGCCAGGGGCCGGCGAGGCTCGCCCTCGCCGGTGGCAGGCGGGGCGAGCTTCGCCAGAGGCCTCGCCGGCCCTCCCCTCTGGCCAGTCCGACGACCGGCCGGTCGCCGAACCGGCTAGAGGGGAGAAACCAGAAAAAAAAAGAAAAAGAAAAAGAAATTAAAAAATTGAAAAAAATAATTAAAAATTGCCACGTCAGCGTTGATCGGACGGCCGGCACCGGCCGGCGGCCACGTCAATGCCGACCGGCCAAAATTGACCGGAAGGACTCAATTGGCAAGAATTTAAAAGGTTTAGGATTGAATTGGCAAAATTAAAAGGTTTAGGACTGAATTGGCTGCCGTACAATAGGTTCAGGATTGATTTGATAATTTTTCCGAAATGCAACTATTGATGTACAATGACGGGTGATTGACGCGCATTTCACTATAACAAAACCAAATAGAGGGGAGAACGTAAAGCCTATGATGTAGATTGAAGTAAAAAAATATCAATCAATAATTGAGTGACATCATAGTTTGGGGAGTCTTAACCGTATGTAAATGAGGTCGGCATGCAAATAGGAGGCCTAGAATCTCGGAAGTATAGTTACAACTATTTAGCATAATCTTTGCTAATGGACGGTTATACTTAGGGATTATAGATATGGTGGTGTGTAATCATTGTAGTTTACACGATCATAATTTATCAATCATAGGGTCTATTTTTTTGCGAAAAATACACGTTTTGGAAAATATTTTTTTAATAATGATTGGTTATATTATTTTTAATAATTAGCCAATAAAAAATAATTTGATTATCCACAATAATTTATACCTTAATATTTTTGTGAACAACAAAAATATTTTTTATTCATTCATTTTTGTAAGCGTAATGAGCGATCATTTTTATGAAAATGTTTACCAAATCGTTTATTTTTCACGAACTAACTAGGCCCTTAATGTCTTTTAAATTTTTGTCATTTACGATTCTTTACTTTTAATTTTATTATTCATCTTCTTTGTCACGACAATTCAACTTATGTCCGAAACCCATCTAATAAAAATAAATAAATGTGAGAGCTCTACTTTTGATGAAAGGTTTTTCACCATTTGGGTCAACACCCATTTATAGTGAAACGCGTTGACTTTGCACTATAACAAATTATCACGCCTCTATCATGTGATTTCACAAGTAGATTGTTCATGTAAATCAAACTCTCTAAAAATTAGTTGAGTGAGGAGCGGGCAATCGAGTTGGCACTGGGACATTAGAATTGCATTTTTTGATGAGCCACTAGCATAGCACCACTTCACATCTACTGTGTTCTCTATATAAGAGATATAGTCACTCAAACCCCATATTTGAAAGATGAAGTGACCATCTAATATATAACGGGAAAATTATTCAAATGAGAATGCCAATTCAATTTTAATCTTTCCAAGTTTGCCAATTTAATCACAAGTCTTTTTGTGAATTTTCAATGCAATTCTTCCGAACAATTTTCGTTCCGACACGGCTATCCAATCATCGTTGATCATCCCACATGGCACATGTCAGGGATTTTCGGCGAAAATTAGCCAGAACGACTATATTATAATTTTACGCAAAAGTTTATAACTAAGTTGGTAAAATTAGAAAATACAAGACCAAATTGACATCCATATAATAAGTTTAAGACTCATCGGACAATTCCCCGACTTATAATATATAAGTACCTTTGATCTCACTTTCAGTATATTCCAAGTTATGCCCTTCTAAATCAAATGAATAGTTCATAAAGAGGATAAAATCGTCAATACACATGTTTTTAGTGGTAACTTCTATGTGTTATTTACCCTATTGGTCACTTTAACTTCCACCGTTAGCTATGACAATTTTCCCCGTTCCAGTGGATATTCGCCCGGCCCCCGAACGGCCGAATAGAACCCGCAATCCATGATTTAGGGTAGAGAAGGAGCAAAGTTTCGTGCACCACATGCGGGGAGGTTGGGCATGGGCTTGGTCAGCCCCACCCACTCTGCAAATCTCCATCTTTAAATATTCCTAATCGTAGTTCCCTTAAATGAATTGTTCGAGTTTTGATAATAACATTTTTGTTTTTTTCCCAATTGTTTTCATTTTCCACTCCGAAGGTTCTCAATAATAAACTCCTTTTTTTTTTCCTTTTTTCATTAATTGCTTCGATATTGTAAGAATTTTTTATTGGATAATAAAAAGTCTAAAACTTGTGAGTTATGTGGGGAAATCCGCATCTGCCAAATTGAGGACGGGGTACATAAACTTGCCCCCGCACGGGGCACAGGGCGGGGACAGGGCAGCTCCGGTAATCGTCGGCAGGGGATGGAGGATGCGATCCCGTCTCTCATCTCACCATATTGCCATTCATATTCACCATTTATGGATTTTAAGACACGGTATAAATTCAATTTTGGCATCCTCAAAAGAGAGGCTAATCCGCACATCGGTACTTCTAGCGACCCAAATATATGCAAGACGAGTGTACAATCAATTAGCTACACAGGTCCTATTCTTTCTTTGACTTTTGAATGTTCAAATTGAGTGTTTGCTAGAATTGTCCAACAGAGGAAGGAGCTTCCAAGGATGGCTCCTCTGTACGTGGAATGATTCTACCCGTCCCTTTTTGTTTTCTTAATTGCTATGTTGACTTCGCCACATTTAAACAAATCAATCTCGTCACATACACCTCCTCGCCGCACCTGGCCAATCCAGACAGATCCAAGACCAGAAAAAATGCCTTCGACTTTGGCGCGCTGAGCACCATTAAATTCAACAACAAACCCCCATGTGCTTGATTGGCTGGCCAAGCAAGCATATTACAACAGGAAACAAGCATTGCATGTCCCTCTATAGTAGGTTGGTCATCTTTTGGTGCTTGATTGGCTGACTAAGCGAGCATCATCGCCTAAAAACATACGACATACACTTGTCTACATAAACTAACGCCATCGTAGCCATTAAATGTATGAACCTCATAGTGGGACACACGTGATCGATTGCCATATGATGGAGTTGCTCTACGTACCAACTGGATTTGCCGCATTCGTAGGCATATGTTCGTCGACACAAGTGGAATTTCGAGCTTCATGATTGGGACTTAACTTCGCAAAATAGCTTGGTTTTCTCAAAATCATCATTGAAATCGACTCTAAAATCATCACCGATCTTTATTAGTCTAGACCTTATGCTAGCCCTGCTTTACTCAAAGGTATCATAAGATTGTTGCGCTATCACTTTGAGCTTGCTAATCATAACGTCTAAAATTCTTTTCATTACCTCATAGAGAGTAAATTCATGTTTTATTAGATGTTAAAATAGAGACAATAGATTTATGATATTAAATTTTTGCGTTCAGTCTTTAGCCTAATTCCTCCAACATGGTGATTGTGATGAATTCAAAGGGGAAAGAAGACAATAAAAACAAAATCCAGAAAGCTGAAGAAAACATGAACTAAATGCCATCGCAATTTAACCTAATTTCATACCTAATTCATTTCACCACAAACCCTTTCTAACAAGAGGCTCAAAGTAGTGTCAAACAAAAACCAGAAAGCTGAAGAAAACATGAACTAAATGCCATTGCAATTTAACCTAATTCCATACCTAATTGATTTCAAGACAAATTCTTTTTAATAAGAGGCTAAAAGCAATGTTGTATTATAAGTGTCTCGAGGCAATGATTAATCATACTCAATAATAAAAAAAAAGCTTCGATCATCAACATATTGATTTCGTAGAAATCTCGTATTAAAAATAAGGGTTACTATCACAAAAAACCTCAAATTATTACACCTGTGACAAATTTACCTAAACTCCAAACTGGTACATTTGTGATAATTTTACCTTCCGTTAAATTTTATCGTCAAATTTCTGAGTTGGATGATACGTGGCAGTTGACGGGTGTATTGATTTGGGGTTTTACCCTCCGTTTGTCATAAGTGTACCAGTTTGTGATTTTTTGTGATATTAATCCAATTTAACAGAAGGTAAATTTGCCTCAAATGTATCAGTTTGGGGTTTTTGGTAGTTAAAAAATTAGTTTGGGGTAAATTTGTCACGTGTACCAGTTTGGGATTTTTCGTAGTCAAAAAATTAATTTGAGATAAATTTATTATTTGGGTACCAGCTTGGGAATTTTCGTGATATTAGCTCTAAAGATAATACTATCCTCTTTTAATTTCTCAACAAACAGGCAAATTTGGCGATGGACGAAGAAGGAAATGAAATCAAGCCCGGCACACATTTTGCTCCACGCGACCCGCCAAACATCTGGGGGATATCATAGGGGATTACACTAACAAGAAGAATTATTTTGCTTTTTGTCTTTCGTCAAGGCACGAAACGATGGATTGAACGATCCTTCGGTGCCCAACCAATTCCTCGTTCACAACCCAATCATTCCCATTTTGAAATTTTAATAAAACTCTCTCTCTCTCTCTCTCTCTCTCTCTCTCCGACTCTGTCTCTGTCTCTGTCCCTGTCTCTCTCCCCGATGGAATCTCCTTAAATTCCAGTGAAGTGCGCGGAGCGAGAGCTTGTTGGGATCTGAACCTCCCATCTCGCCAATTGAATGCTCCCTTGCTTCCTTCTTTCCCATAAATTTCGCTCCTTTCTTTAGTATCTTTACGCAGCTACCGCTTCGCGAACCGGGATTTCCCATCCCTGTTCTTGTTCTTGATCCCCATCAGTCCGCGCGCACTCAATTCAAGCAAAGCTTCCGAGCTCGTCCGCGGGTGTGATGTTTTGACTGCGAATCCGCATCGGCTCTCGTGACCCGTGCCTCTTCTTGGCACGAACCCATCATGGGTCGTTCTCGCCTTCGCTTCTTTCCGCTCTCCGTCGTGCTCTGCCTTCCGCTTCTCGCCGTCGTCGCTGCTGCTAGCGCCGCTTCCACCTCGCCGGAGCGAGAGCGGGACAGGATCGAGGAGTTGCCCGGGCAGCCCGGGAATGCGGGCTTCGCTCAGTACTCCGGCTACGTGACGGTGAACCAGCAGGCCGGGAGAGCGCTGTTCTACTGGCTGGTCGAGTCGCCGGCGAGCCGCCGCCCGGAGTCGAGGCCCCTCGTGCTGTGGCTCAATGGAGGCCCCGGTTGCTCCTCCGTCGCTTACGGAGCGGCTGAAGAGATCGGACCTTTCAGGATTAGGCTCGATGGGAAGACTCTTTACTTGAATCCTTATGCTTGGAACAATTGTGAGTGTGGTGAAATGAAAATTTGATTTTGGTTTTTGTTACCGATTACGCACCGGTATAGCGGCGTAGCAATTCATTTGAGTTGTGTCGAATTGTTTGGGACAGTGGCGAATGTGCTGTTTCTCGAGTCTCCAGCTGGTGTTGGGTTCTCGTACACCAACACGACATCGGATTTGTATACTGCGGGCGATCAGAGAACTGGTAAGTTCTGAGTGAGTCTGTTTGTCTGTAGTATATGTATAGAATATGGGCTCCTGCAGAGTTTGGTTTTGGTGTAGAAGACGAAGAATTTGAGTTTGACATCCATGGTTTGCCATGTGACATGGTTTAGCTGAAGATGCGTATGCTTTTCTGGTCAACTGGTTCGAAAGATTTCCGGAGTACAAGCACAGAGATTTCTACATTGCTGGGGAAAGTTATGCAGGTTTCAGAGTTCTTCTTCATCGATTCTTCCTGTTATTTATGAGTTTCCATGTGAGAAGTGACCAGTTTAACTTTTCATATTTTATCTGTGACAGGCCATTACGTTCCACAGCTGTCTCAACTTGTTTATGAAAAAAATAAGGGAATTCAGAATCCAATCATCAATTTCAAGGGATTCCTGGTAATCATCGATATTGATCTCAAACTCGAAGAATGATGTCCTGGCATCATCAATCCTTTACTTTTCCTTTTACCCTTTTTTAGGTTGGGAATGCTGTTACAGATGATTATCATGATTACATTGGCACTTTCGAATACTGGTGGACCCATGGCTTGATTTCTGATTCTACCTACCATACCCTCCGAGCCGCTTGTCTGTATGGATCTTCGCTGCATCCCTCGGCGGACTGCATTAAGGCCCTTGATGTCGCGTCAGTGGAGCGAGGAAATATTGATCCTTACAGTATTTTCACTAGACCTTGCAATAATACTTCGTCATTACGGCACAACTTAAGGGGCCACTATGTAAGTACTTATACCTGACAACGTTCGCTTGAACTGAATAAGTGGATTTGACATATGCTTACCGACCTTCAATAATTGAGCTTTACTATAGATCCCGAATTTGCTCTAGTTCAGATTCTCCATAAGATATTGGAGAGCTGGGTAACCACTCAGGACATACTCTGGTGGGTCAACTGAGATCCTCCAGCACCCATGCGATTGGTGATCTTAGTGAACGCCTTCCCTTTTCTGAGTCTCATCCTCATTGGAAGAGTAACTTTTCTGGCTTTTCCAGGGATTTCACCCTTAAATCTCTCATTTTAGAGTTTTTGACAGAGTCCTGCGAGGGCCGTGACGCCCTCGCCTGGTGTTTCTGCAGATTCAAGTTATTTATTGTTTTATCATCATCGACACTCTACATGGAACTTCATTGTCACAAAGACAGATAATGCGATTTTTTCTCTGTTGCTTACTTGAAACTGCCTAGTGAAATTTTCTAAATCAAGTTCTTTGTTGCCTTCTATACTTAGCCATGGATGTCCAGAGCATACGATCCCTGTACAGAGAGGTATTCTGCGGTTTATTTCAATAGACCGGAAGTTCAGAAGGCACTTCATGCAAATGTGACCCGCATACCATATGCATGGGAAACATGCAGGTGCAATATTGCTCTTGAATCGATCACAAATATGTGCCAGCCATATAGTAACTGCCCACCAAACAAAAGTTATGTCTGCTAATTTATTGAATCTTGTTGTTTACAGCGATATTGTTGGGAATTACTGGGCAGATTCTCCACTTTCTATGCTTCCTATATACCAAGAGCTTATTGCAGCCGGTTTAAGGATATGGGTGTACAGGCAAGTTTGTGTGGCCGATTTTCATGCACCCCTCTGTTCTCTTTCTATTTTTTTTTTTTGAGGATGTCCTTGATCATGACACTTGATAGTCGTTAAAATATCTAGACTCATCTTCTGCACGACCAGGTAGTGAGTACTTGATTTGATACAGGCAACCTTTGATGGTCAAAGTACCATCACTTGTTGAAATCTGTTCCTCTTTCGTTATTATAGCGCACTCTATTCCAGTTGGCCTATTGGCTATTATCAATCTTTCAGCACCTTTTTTTTTTTTTTATCTTAGAATGTGATAAAGTAGCATATACTGTAGGCTGATTTAGTTTTGAGTTGAGTCTGTGTTTCCCTGGCAGGGGTCCTATATTTACCTTGGGAGATTCCTTTTGAATGATTATCTAGTGAGGCACTCGAGGAAGTCTTCTCAAGCATAGTTTTTTTTGTCTAAGCCGGCCTCCTGCAGTTTGTTAGTTCTATTTCATGTGGTTGCTTTAGATCAATTCTCTACTATTAATGTGAGTGCCCAGACCATCCTCAACTAATGAGGAAAATGTACGACAGGTACTGTGGGAACTAGGGTGAGAATATATGTAAACATAATAGTGGGAAGACTGAAGACTGAGGAGAAAATATAAGCGAGAATGAAAATAGTAGACTCCATAGATAATGTGAAACTTTTAGTAGCTGCGTGGAAAGTGCAATGGTGTCAAGATCCGCTTTTTAAACTTACCAACAAAAGGAAAAGGGTAGAACACTGAGCATGACTTGCTCAACATTTGTCTGTCTACCATTTCTATCGGTGCATCTTTCACAGTTTCATTTTGTCTGTGGCCGTCTTTTGGCTTTTACTATGTCATGTTACGGTGTTGGTTTTTATATCCTATATCTGACATCTGATCAAAATCTCTCTACAGTGGGGACACTGATGCTGTTGTTCCTGTTACTGCAAGCCGATACTCAATTGATGCCTTGAAGCTTGCCACTGTTATCAATTGGTACCCATGGACCGACAATGGAAAGGTCTGTACTCTTTACAGTTAAATCGAGCTTTTGTTCTTTTACTTTTCCGCAATTAAACAAAGTCGAATTTCTCTTTTGCTCTTACAATCTCTATCTGCAATATGCCGGCTCACATCTCACCTGTTTAAAGTAGCAGATCATAGCAGCTGTTTACAGGTGCTAAACAACCTTTCTACTTCTTTCACTTCTGAGATATCACCTGGCTAATTAATCACGCGATATGCACAGCGATACTTTCAGTATCCTAAACAGATAAAACAAAATCTGATTGTTGACTCTCTTGTCAACATTAACCAGTCAAAATCGGTTCCAAGGAAAGTTGATTGAGAATTCTATCAAGAAGTGCTTGCTTGTCCTCAAACTTCTTCTGGTGATACAGGTCGGCGGGTGGAGCCAAGTTTACAAGGGGCTGACATTTGTTACGGTGACTGGAGCAGGACACGAGGTTCCGCTCCATCGACCACGACAAGCCTTCATTCTTTTCAAATCATTCTTGGAGAATAAGCCTATGACAAGATAGAAGCCATTACTTTGGTGCAGTTCAGTGTGAATATCCGAGAAAAATTACGGAAAAATTCTTTCTATTTACGAGGATACAGAATAAGAAAGATGCACTCCCCTCGAGTGCCTATTGATTCTTGCCTCCTTTGTGGAGTCCTATTCAATTATGTATGCCATTCATTACAGATTATTGGTCATTAGAAGAAAGAACAGTGCCATGATGAAATGTATTGAAGTTGTCAAATTCTTACCCTTTAAAAGCCAGCAGTAAAGATTATTCTTTGCAGTTTTCCTATTGATGAATGTACTGTAAGACTCATATTTGCTCTCTCAACTCCGACGACCTTGCTTATGGGGGTTCTGGGGGTCTTGATTTCGTCGAAAATTACCTAGTCTCTGTTCTATCTGTGATTTTATAATCGTATTCAGTAATCCGGGTTAGAAGAAAGATAACATCCGCGCGATATTCTTCTTCGAAACATAAAAAAAAGTCAGGAAACAACTGACGAAAAAGCAAAGTCATGAGTGTACAGCCGATATAGAGATAGAGATTTCATTGAAGGGCTCAAGACTCGAGAGTAAAGGAGTATATGCACAGATCTGATAATGATTTAGAGACTTAATAATGCCTATGGATGGATTCTTTATGTCTTTCTCATTTAAAAGTCTTGATTTCTCCAGAGGGGATCTAATTCTCTATATCCTAGAACCAAAGCCCGTGAGCTAGGGCGTGGCACGAGCTGCCTTTACTTCTTCGGATCCAAGAAAATGCCCTGCCCATGCTCAGAAAACTAAAATAAAATAAACAAGCATTCCCCTGTTCAAGAAACGTCAAGAAAATCAGGACAACCGTCCATCTCCAGAAGAGTTAGGGGCGTTTGATAGATGGATCAGCATGATGAACGGTGGGGATCGATGAAATCACACGACCCACTAGGTGGGGCATTTGCTCTGTAACTTGTAAGTGATGGCTAATGGTTGTAAAACTAAACGGCGCCATCAAAGGACTAAAAAAGGTCAGAGGAGGGGGATTTAGTCAAATGAACAGTTGGCTGATCCTTGATCCAGGAAAAGAGAAAAGAAAAAATGGTGATGCAGTTTATATGCTCATAGAGATCCGATATTAGGTCAACTGTCCACGATGAGCAACCTTGATCTCGATGGCTTTGACTTTTGTGGGATCCAATGAGTTTCTGATTTGATGATGTCTATATGTGGTCTTAAGTCAATTTGTTTCATTCAAAGATTTTCCAGATTGTACGATTTGACAGCAAAATGGGTTCTCACGTGTTCATTACCTCCTTTTGCTTTTCTTTTTTAATGAATGGATTCATGGACGAAGTTCAGACCGTCCTAATTAAAACCTGCAGATCTTAATTCGGAGTGAGGAAGGCGAGCACAGATCTGCATGAAATTCCACAGCACGGAACTTCACGCTCGGCGATTCCAGTCAATGAAAAGCTAAGAGAAAGAGCCGTGCACATCAAAGTTAGTAACCGGATGACATTCTGTTCAATGTATTAGGTACATATAGAGACCTACTGATCCCCACAAGGCCATTTTCTTAACTAATAACTAACTGATAAAGCATTTTTTAGCATGACTCAGGGTAGGTGAGATGGGGAAATCATATCAATCATATTCTGTAGGTCCTCCTTCCTCCCCAAGAAAAGATAGAAATCTAGCTTGGACGAGAGATAAAAAGAGAACAGTTTGAGAGGTCGAGATGAGATTATTTTTTTTGCGAAATTTCATAAATTAGAGCATATATGGAGAAAAATTGCACCGAGTATCAACCGACCGGGCCAACGCCCCGGCGGTCACCCTCAGTCCGACGTTAGTTATAAAGGGTTGCTACCCTGCCCCTTGGTAAAAAGTCAGAGCCAGTACGAGCTAAGCAATCAAGTCTCACAAGCAATATTATTATTATTTTTTTGGTCAACAACCAGCAACATTATCAATAGTATAAAAATGATTGAATTGTGGTCATCCTAAAACAATCCTATCAATCTTTCACACGGCACAATAAATTCCCAGGGCATCACTTAGAAATCAATTCACAAAAGTTTCGCTGAGCTGAAGCAAACTCCATTCCAATAGCTGACCAAAAGCTAAGCAGGGACGTTTCTTCAAACCCAATCATGAGCGCTAAGAACACGAGCAAGGACAGTTCTTGTTCTTTGCCTCGCCTTCTTCTAGTACTCGCAACCCTGCTGCTATCTTTTACTTCTGCTACTTCCATTAATGTCCAACAAAAGAGGGACAAGATCGTTAAGTTGCCAGGCCAGCCGGCGAACGTGACCTTCTCTCAGTACTCTGGCTATGTCACGGTGGACCCGAGTGCTGGGAGGGCTCTGTTTTACTGGTTGATCGAGGTGCCGCGCCATCTTGGCCCAGCGTCGAAGCCACTGGTCCTATGGCTCAATGGCGGGCCTGGCTGCTCCTCGGTGGCATATGGCGCGTCGGAGGAGGTGGGGCCGTTTCGGGTGAGCCCGGATGGCAAGACTCTGTCCCTCAACCACTATGCTTGGAACAGAGGTGAGCGAGTATGAATTGTGATGTGCTGGGTGCAATGTGCATGAAATGGGATTCTACGTCGTAAAGACATATTCATGTGCAGTTTGAATCTGATGGGGTTTGGTTTTGCAGTGGCAAACTTGCTCTTCCTGGACTCTCCTGCTGGTGTGGGGTTTTCTTACTCCAACACATCCTCTGATGTATACACCCCTGGTGACAAGAGAACAGGTCTCTCTCTCTCTTTCTCAAATCTAAACAGCAAAAATAGTTCTACATTCAAATGAATTCGTCTCTATAATTGTTTAATGTGAACGACTCTGGTTCATCTGAACCATCTCTATCAATTTGACTGTGGATCGACTCCTCTCGGGCAATCTCATATGAGATCATGAATACACCACCAATTGGTCTAGGCAAAGATATGCTTCTTACCAGCTGTTTTGGTAGTGCAGCTCAAGATGCCTTCACATTCCTAATGAATTGGCTCGAGAGGTTCCCTCAATACAAGCATAGGCCTTTCTACATTGCCGGGGAAAGCTATGCAGGTACAAACCCATCCCTTGCACCTCCTTTTTCCGGTAACTGTCTCAATCTTTGTTTTGATTGATGTTCGCTTTCCGTAATTTGCAGGTCATTACATCCCTGAGCTGTCTTTGGTCATTGCACAGCACAACAACGGGACAAGGAACCCGGTTCTTAACTTTAAAGGCTTCATGGTACGTCACTGTGTTGTCTTCGACTTCAAAGAAGCTTCTTGTTTGTCTTTCTCTCCTTGGACAGAATGTCAACGACACAAATCCGTATAAACTCACAATCATGCTGATATAATATGACATCTTATTTTGTTCGAAAATCATTGGGGATCTTGATGTACGTTGAGAAAGAGACGGACAAGGTTAGGTCGATAATGCTATATCTCGTGCCTTTTATTTGATCTGACGTTTCTGGGCAGGTGGGAAATCCTCTTTTGGATGATTTTTACGATAGCGTCGGCACGTTCGAGTTTTGGTGGAACCATGGGTTGATATCGGACTCCACGTATGCAGCCCTGAATGAATCTTGCCCATACGATTCGTTCCTCTTTCCTCGCAACAAGTGTAACGCGGCTCAACTCCGCGCTTCTACCGAGTTCGGGAATATCGACCCTTACAGCATCTATAACAGCCCTTGCCCAGCAGCGGGCACGCTCAAGCAGAGTCTGGACCAGTCCTTGGTGAGCCTACTCAGAACTCGTAATACTGGACAACAAGCCACGAATTTTCTACACTCATTTCTTTAACAAACATTGAAACTGTTCTCCATGCATCAAGGAAATCACAGTTCAAGATAATTGCACCAGGCCGGATCTATCACATTAACAATGAAACGAAGCCATCTGGTTTTTAGTTGTTTCTTAGTTATTGATTTAGATGGGTTTGCTTTTAACTGTGACTTTTGTTGTGATTGCGTCTGTCATAAGTTGAGTCTTCAGTCAAAATCTTGAAGTCAATGTCATCATTGGGGTTTAAAGGAAAAGAAATGCCGACCATGCTTTGTTTCCACTAATCTTACCTCATTTGCTTCCTATATGTTATCACTGAAATTTAAGAAAAATCTTGGGTCTTTAAGCCATATAGCAGCCATAACCATATACTTGGCTCTTACCCACAATTTATCGAATCATGATTGATCGTCTACAAGATAAAAAATCTTAGGTAGAAGTTCCGAGCAAGTGATTAGTGGACCTATAAAAATTGGCCATGAAAAGGCAGAGCGCGATCTTGGAATTGGGTTTTCAAAAGTTAATACCCATTTGACCAATCATTACTCGTCTCTCGTGATTATGGCTATGGGATGGGTAATCTCGTGAATGCATCCGGCGGTCGGCACGGCCATATGGTCCTACTTGTCTCAGAAAACTGTGAACTTCTTTCGTTTTTGGGTTCTACGAAAGTAGAGTCAACCATGATGACATCACGGACATGTCCAATCTATATCCTATCTATTCTTAATCTTGCCCAAGTATTAATCTAATTGAACAAATTTGCGTCAGCATATACTCTCTTAGCTCATCATCTATCTTCTTGATGTCAGCCATGGAGGTTCAGAGGGAACGACGAGTGCATAGTGCTATACACGAAGAAGTACATGAACCGACGAAGCGTTCAAAGGGCTCTCCACGCCAACGTCACTCGCATCCCCCATCCTTGGGCCGCTTGCAGGTCTCGCCATCCTCGGGGCTCGCTCCCTCAGCCGTCGAAACTCGTTCTGGCATTTCCTCAGACACTTGGTGACCCTGATTCTATCCATTGCTCTGTCTTTGCAGCTCGGTGGTAAGGGCAAACTGGACAGATTCCCCGAAATCGATGCTTCCCACCTTCAAACAGCTCATAGCCGCGGGTCTTCGCATCTGGGTCTACAGGTCAGCTCTCGTCTTCGTTTTCTCCTCCTTCTAACCACTGCCTATCGTATGAGATCGTTCTTGATTCCTCTTGAACGCTGTGTCACCCAGTGGCGACACCGACGCCGTGCTGCCGCTATCCGCGACCCGGTACTCCATCAAAGCTCTCGGGCTCAAGGCCACCGCCAGCTGGTACGCTTGGTACGATGATCGCCAGCAGGTATAATTCCCATCACCTTCTCGTTCGCGTTAACTACCAAGAAAATGCAAAGATCTGAACAGTGGTGAATCTGAAAATGGGGTGCGATCCAGGTTGGTGGGTGGAGCCAGAAATACCAGGGCCTGACTTACGCGACGGTGAGAGGCGCGGGACACGAGGTCCCATTGGGCCAGCCCAGGCTCGCCATCTTCTTGTTCCGCCATTTCTTGAACAACCAGTCCTTGCCCGGCCTCTCTTTCTAGTCCCCCCTCTCCCATTTGTACATTCCCTTCATTTTTATATCTTCCTTCTTGATTAGCCACTGAATCTTGGCAAATTTTTATTTATTTTCCTTTTTTTGTTTTTTTTAATTGCGATGTTGTTGAATAAGAGCCTCTCCACATAGAAATTGAGGCGAGAAAAGGACGTGAGTCCAGCGCGCCACGCTACTTTCTTCGTTCGGGTCTAATTTTTTTGTGTTTTTGTTCGGGTCATACGATTCAAAAAAGGAAAGAAAACATAAATCTTAGTGCACTAGATTAATGAGTTCCTTAATGGCTAAGAAGTGCGAATTGTATATGGTCGTTTTCATGGTTGGGATGCAACTTTTATAATTGAACACCCAACACACGGAAAGCCGAAAAGACAAAAAAGCAGATCAAAGCTATGGCTGTTTTTGAATTCTCGAAGCTTTTGGCCCTAAAGTTAAAGGCACAATTGAACTTGTGTTCATTTAAATACAGAAGCTAAAGCAGACATCACGTCTTAAGATTGCAAGAATCGCCTTCCCTTAGTCCTTTCAGATACACGAGACACACTCATAGTATCTCTCAACAATGTATCGTCGTTTCATGAGCAACACGGTGGTCGGTTTCCTGAACCTCCTCTCGCTCTTGGCTTCGATACCCATCATCGGAGCCGGCCTGTGGATGGCGATAAGCGGTACCACGTGCGAACACACCCTCCAGACGCCGCTCCTTGTCATCGGCTTTGTCATCCTCGTCGTTTCCTTGGTGGGATTCATCGGGGCGTGCTTCAACATCGTGTGGGCGCTCTGGGTCTACTTGGTGGTCATGCTGTGCCTCATAGCGACCTTGATGGCCTTCACTGCGTTCGGGTTTGTGATCACCGCCCACGGCGGCGGGGTGGCGGTTCCTGGCCATAAGTACGAGGAGTACAGGCTCGACGGGTACTCGCCGTGGCTGAGGGACAGGGTCAAGGACCCTCGCTATTGGAGGAAGATCAAGAGTTGCATTTTCAGTTCAAGGACTTGCGAGAAGATTGCCTCCTGGACGCCTATGGATTACTTAGTGAAGGATTTGTCTCCTGTACAGGTTAGGCTATGGTCTAATTTGTACTTTGCTTAATCTCCATTTAGATTCTTGTTTAGGCTAGTTAGTTTATAGAGAAGCAATCTAATTTCATCCATGTAAGTTGGGCTAATCAAACTTTGAAGACAAAACGAAGGATTATAGGCGATTTAATTAGAGGCACCTCTTTACGTGAATCTGATTCATCCCCTAACCAATTGGTTCAATCTAACATGATTCTTGCTTTCTTCGTCCTCAAGGAAGAGCTCAATATCACGAAAGATGCAGGCCAAACCTAATGGATTGATACATAGCTCCTTTCATTCACTACCAATCAAGCTAAAATTAATGTTGCGTTGTAAGTGCAGTCAGGATGCTGCAAGCCACCGACGTCTTGCGTGTACAACGTGGAGACGGTAGCGCCACAAGACCCGGACTGCTACAAGTGGAACAACGCGCCAACGTTGCTGTGCTACGACTGCGACTCGTGCAAAGCGGGAGTGCTCGAGGACGCGAGGAGGACGTGGCACAAGGTCTCGCTCCTCAACGTCGTCGTCCTCCTGCTTCTCGTCCTGTTTTACTCCATCGGTTGCTGCGCCTTTCGGAACGCCAGAAGAGAAGACGAGCTCTATCACTACCCTTACGGACATCACCCTGGCATGCCCAAATTTTGGCCCAGAAGGCACAACAACTATTGGTGGTGAGTGAGATTCATTGCTTCATCTCGTCCAATGTCTTCGTACATCACTTATACCAACCTTTTTGCACAAGGGTTTTGATTTGTGTCTTCGAGATTACCCTAAGAGTGCCCATTTGCTTTTCCTTTTTGCCCGTAACTAATGCCTTTTGGACACGTGCCGACGCCTTTTGTGGGACGGAATTCAATGTTGGAGCATTTATTTATATCGTGGCATCTCTTATTAGTTTCATAGTATTTTTATATGCGATTAGCTTGATCAAGTGAGTTAATTTAAGTAACGAGTGCTCTCTGGACAAACTATGATTTCATGTGATTTGCTTTGCTCTTCCTTCTTTGTAATGGATGCTTTCTTTGTTTTGATTTTAGGTGTTGTTGATCCGCATCGAGATGGCTGCTGATGAAACTGGGCATGAGTAGATAGCCGGTGGCTCCACCATCCAACGTCCGCATCCAAGAACTGTGAATACTTAGTGCAACACATTTGTACATACTGGCAAATTTTACCTCTAGAAATGCACAGTTAATGTAGCAACTCCTTTTTGTAATTTTTGGTGGGTAATTCACGATTGCGTGCACAATCGTAGAAGGTTGAGGGTGCATCAAGGATAAATAAAGACAGGAGAAGGTAGAGCCAAAAACAGAGAAGGAACAGGTGCACCAATTATCTATGAACACATATGCTTTAATCCACTCGGCCGTCTCTCCCAATTGAAAAAGTATAGTTACTATCTCACATTATATAAAAAAGTAAGGTTTGAAAAACAAATCCTTTCTTTGTCTCTCTTTATTATCTTTCCACTCTATTGATATATACAACTTTAATATATACTATTTTTATAAGCAATCCCATTTAGATAAAGAAACAAGAATACCTCTTCTTTTGAAAGAGCTTTTTAAAGAAAGGTTTGTCATTTTTAATGCAGTGTCTGTCTCGTGTCATGTATGATTAGTGAAATACAAATATTTTTCTAATGGGTGAGAAGTAATTGTTAACAAGATCCTTCTTAAAAAGCCATAGGTGAAAAGGAGGGAAAGAGAAATTCTTAAAAGGCTTGACCGCCCAACCAAGAGTAGTCTTGAAACTTGTATCGTTTTTGTTAGAGATATCCCTTAATTTTGTATATCTCTTAGGATGGTGCATTATCTTTCTCGATTGATCCTAATTGATTGCCATTGATAGTTTACTATACTATTATTATAGATAGTCATCTTGAAAACTTAAACATAAGCTCAAGTACTCTTTATTATGAATATACAAAAATTATATAATTCTCTTTTTTGCTTTATGTTTATCTTAGTATCTGAGCACCTCTTGTCTGAGGAAGGGCCCATCGAGTTATACGGTGGTTTATGTTAGCCGCACTGGTTTCCGTTTTTGAACATTACATCACTGCGCTTGAGTGTTGTTCTGACATTTTTTGTTGTTTGTTTCGTAAAAAGAACATCACCATAAGACTCGCCGCGCTCAGACTGGTCAGATCTTGGGATTTTGTCGTGATCCACCACTGAACGTCGCCTCACGCGCCACCATGCACTGTCACGTCTCGGATCCATCAAGTCTGACGCCTTTGAGTGCTATTTTGACACTTTTCATTGGTTGTTTCAAAAAACCAATACCACTATCAGACTTGTCGGCCTTAGACGAGCCAAATTTGGAAAATTTCACCACTAACCGCCATAGTAGTAGCCCGCACGTGCCACCGCATGTTGCCATGCGCTCCACGTGCCGACGCTCGTGCCAGTTGCCGACGTCATCGCAAGAACCATCAGACCCTTACTTGGTTTAGAAACATTTCAATTCTATCTATTAGACTTCAGTTCAGTCGCCTCGATTTAACAAATGAATCCTGAGATCTGCTTACCATACGATATTCCACCTTGGATATTGTTCGTCGGTATTAACTATTAGGGAATCTGCCTTGTATGCATTAGGATACAAGTCAGTCTATTATTGTTTTTTTATCCTCTATACATGCTATATGGAATCAACTAATCTTATCAGAGCCATAATGGGAAGCGACTTCTGATGCTCGCAAGTTTGCTAAATATCATGGTTGTATGCGTGTTATGAAATTTCTGTTGATCCTTACTGATGAATTTGAACATTTGCAAGCTTCACTTCTACATCGAGATCTATTACCTCGTCTTGAGGAAGTTATCTTAGAGTTGTTGACTGAGGAGACTCGACTTGCTACATTAAAGGCTCAATGCACTACTTTGTCCACTCCTATAGATGCGGTGCTTGCCGCCCCCCACTTCTTCCTCATCGCGCACAGTGTAATGTATGCATTGTCACCGACATGGTCACCTTGCGTCCAATTGCTGTCGATGAAAACCCAGGCAACCTACGAGAATGAACAACCGATCCCAATAAAGACGTCCACCTGCACGCCCATCCACCACTACTGCTATCATTGAGGGTTCCCCTAACGACCCATCTGTTGCTTTATCCTTATAAGATCTTTGTTTCATTCTTCAAGAATCTGATAGTTTTGGCTCCTCTGTTTCTAACACTTCTATTTGTTTGTCCCTCTAGGTATTTCTGATTCATGGTTCTTTGATTCTGCATATTACAATCATATAACTTCCAACTCCAATTTATTTAAGTCAAAATTATTAACTTCGCAAGCACCTGCTATTCATACAGTTGATAACTTACTGATGATAGTGAGTCTTATAGGAAACATTTTGACGTCAACAATGGCATTACGCGACACTTTTTTGGTTTGTAAACCTCATTAAACTTGATATCTGTGGGGCAATTATCTGTGGGACAATTGTGTGAACTTGACTTTGACTTTCACTTTTCCTCTAATAGTTATTGCTTGCAGATTCCATGGATGGGACATACATTTGAATAGCCGCAAAGTGGGACAACTATTCGAGCTTATCTCTTTAAAGCTTCCGAATGATTAACTTGGCATTCTCGATTGGGCCATGTTTTTTTCTTTCTCTAGATTAGGTCATCTAATTTCAAGTGGTCATTTAGGTTATGTTGCTAATAAACCTTTTAATTTCTTCCCAAGTAAGTTGGGAAAACATCATACTTCGCCATTTGATTTTAGTGGATCTGTTTCTTATACTAGCTTTGATGTAATTCATTTTGACATTTGGGGACCATCTCCTACTCTCACTATGTGAGGATCTCACAATTTTGTGATTTTTGTTGATGATTATTTTTGTTATGCCGTGTAATATAGAGACCCAAAGTATTTTAGAATTTTTTTCTCAAAACGGTACCATCATTTATCGTTCTTGGCTAGGAACTTCCAAACAAAATGGTTGAGCAGAGCGTAAACATAGGCACATCTAAGATGTACACACTCTTCTAATTTCAACCTCTTGTCCAGAACAATTTTGGGAAGAGGCCGGTCATACTATTGTATACACTATTAATCGTACTCCGTCACCTACTATAGGTAAAATCTCTCTTTATGAATGCTTATATGGCAGTGTTCCTAATTACAATCTTCTTCGAGTCTTTAGCGATGCTTATTTTGTGCATCTTCTTCCACATAAATGCACGAAGTTAGAACTTCGTGCTCGTCTATATGCTGCTTCCTTGGATATGACATTGAGCACAAATGATACAGTTGTTGTGATCCTGTCTCTAATTATCTTCACGTGTCTTGTCATGTTACCTTTTAGGAACAAAATATGTTGTTATCTCTCTGTCCTTTCGAATGCTCTCCTATTGTTCGCTTCTTTACCAATCATTTAGTGCATCTATTTCCTGCATATGACACACTTGAATCTACTTTTGAATCTTCCTATTCAGAGTTGTCTTTTCCTAATCTTGATGCAGATAGCTCTGGTGATCCCACTTCAGCAACTCTTGACATGTTTGCGTCATCTGCGAATTCTCCACCCTTGGTCACTCACTCTTGACCTCTTCATCGTTCCACTCATGTAAGTCAACTTTCTGTTTGGTTTCGTGATTTCCATTGTTATTCTACTATTACTTCTTTTCAAAAGCCTCCCCTATATGGAGATGTTGGTTCTAACCCTCTTTGTCGGCAAGTAACAGTCGATAAGTTGCAAGTGTTAGACAAATCTCATATTTGGGGATTTGGTTGATTTGCCTCTTGGAAAGTCTGTTATAGGTTGTAATTGGGTTTATAAGATCAAAATGAAGGCAAATGGTACGGTGGAAGAGCTACAAAGCTCGACTAGTAGCAAAAGGCTTTACTTAGGAGTATGTCATTAACTGTTGAAAATATGTCTCGAGTTTGAGCACGTGAACGAAACCCGACCCATGATGAATTAGTATTTGCGGACGTCCAAATATAAGCCATGGAAATCCAGAGTTTTCTTTTCGGTGTAAAAGTTTGGCTGGATAAGGATTCCAAACAAAACAAGAAAGGAAAGTCTGGGTGAGAAGAGGAAATAAAATAAAACAAGAAGGGCACACAAATTATACGTTTCTGTTAGTGTAATCGGCCAAAGGGAAAGATAAAATAGGAAAGTCCAAAATTTGGTTTTGGTTGACCGTGTATTACTTGGACTTTGTTTCCTATTTGATGTGGCAATCTTCACGATGGAAATTTTCACTTCCCTCTGCCGTTGGGTTTAATATAAATATTTCTCAAGATTTCTTTATAGAGGTAAGAGAGAAAGACAAGAAGCGTCGTTCCAACCGAACGCTTGTAGTGGGTTTTTCTTGGCTGAGTTATATCCATGAAGTCTTGAAGCGCCACTTGCTTGCGGGTGCTTGGCATCGGGTTCGAGATTTTGTTCGTGGAATTACACCAAGAGTTCAAGTGTTCGTAGCGATTAAATCTTGTGTTAAGATTTGTGTATAATTCCTTTGCGAGATTGAGAGATTATTTCGTGAGGAATTGTGGGGCTAAACATTGCGTGAGTTATTGGGTGTAATTGGGACTTGGGAAACACTTAGAGTGTTTGAGTGACTCGAGTGTGGTTGTAATCTCCGTTGTATCGCTTGATCTATAGTGGAATTCCGTGCTGCTCTCCCCGTGGATGTAGTTCACTACGACCGAACCACGTAAATCTGGTGTCCAATTTATTTTCTTATTCTGTCAAATTTATTGTTCGATCGCTTGGCTTCCGCAACATTAACTATAATGAGAAGTTTGGTCCAGTTGCACGTCTTACTTCTATTATGAAGTCTTCTTGTTGTTGCCTCTATTAAGCGATGGTTATCAATCCATATGGAAGTTAATGTATTCCTCAGTGGCAATCTTACTGAGGAAGTATATATGGAACCTCCTCCTAGATACATATTCTTGCGATTTCACCGTAAGTACCTCTTAGAAGGATAGGGATGGGTGGAGTCGAAAAGGATTTTGGATGACACTTGATGAGACGAAAACTATTAGCATACCCCCTAATAAGAGGTTCCTGTGCTGTTCTAAAATGGAGTTTTGGAGAACTTTTGGATACTTTCAGAATGTCAGGTAGCAATAGTATTCTCGAAAGCCAACGAGTCGTATGCTCGAACAACTTCTATTGATGTTGAAGTACCATAGAATTTAAAATCACACGAAAGGAGCCACCATCTAATTTTGGGTACCTAGTTAGACAGGTTTCGAAGCAAAGTGTTCAACAAAATTGACCG